CTAGGGGCTCCTGGCCTTACTACTAGGAGCAAGGACGCTGCTAGGGGCTCCTGGCCTTACGACTAGGAGCAAGAAGCTACTAGGGGCGCCTGGCACTACTAGGAGCAAGGCCTTACTACTAGGGGCTCCTGGCCATAGTACTAGGAACAAGAAGCTACTAGGTTGGAGGGGCTTCGCAAGTCATGGGCCCCGTGGACGTTGCAGTATGTTCTTTTGTGCTGGACAGCATCGCGCATGCACGCAGCCAGGTGGGTTGTGGTGGTGGAGGCACCACGATGTCCGGCAAAGAATGGCTGGGGCCAAGGGATTGGAGTCCTGAGGAATATGGCCCTGGAGCCAAGTGCATCGCTGCCCGGAGCAAAGACACGGGATTGTCGGGAGTAGTACATGCATATACAGCATGCAGATGCATGCAGCATACTTTTTTTTTGATTGTGCAAAAGACTTGCTTTTGGTGCAAAGTAGGTGGTTGGATTGGTGCCAGTGGATACTTGTGTCCATTCATTCTCACATGCTATCAAAAATCCGGTTGGAATGATCAGAGGTTTTCTGGCCATTACCTACACTACCCTCAGTCTCAGAAAAAGCGTTTGGCAACGGTCTCAAATGGGGTCTCGTTTTCTAAGGCAAGTTCCTCCATCAAACCACCGAAACCAAGGATACCGACAAGGAGTTCCAGGTAGCGATTGACTTCGTGACCCACACCAATGATGAGGGAGAAGAGCAGCTCAAGAGCCACTGGGCTCAAGTTGTTGTTGCGGTGTTGGTGTTGGTGGTGATGGTGGTGTGGTTGTTGGTGGTGAGGACCTTGGTTCGCTGGTTGGGAGCGGAACAAATCACTAGGGGAAATATGGGTTTGTCAGACCTCAGACACCATCTCAGATGGTCACAAACCACCCTCTAGTCCACTACGTAGTTTCGGAACAGGTAGGGTAGATTCCTCTGATTTTTCTCATGTAGATCTCCTCATTGTGTTGGACAGGCTGGCGTGTTCAGTACTTAGTCCTCCAAGGAATTCACTGACCAGGTTTTTGCAGGTACATGAAGACCAACCTGAACACAGTGGTCATGATCACATGTGGATTGGCAGCACCCGTTTCAGAATGATTCAATCATCAAAGCTCAGAAGACCACTGTTTCTTGTGCAGATGTTGACCTACGTTTAGCTCTTATCACTTTGCGACTACAACCCAATTGGGTACCCAGTCCTATGGTCAAAACCATTGAAAGAGCAAATCAGACGCAGGAGACTGTAGGCGCTTTAGCTGTAGGCCCTAGGCTTTGGTAACGTCGAATGTTCTGGAACGTCCGATGCCAGGCCTGGAGGTCTATTTGACTCAGGGGAGCTGCAAACTGACCGCCTCCATGGAGCAATACCACGAGACCTGGCTGTTCGAGCTGGTGTGTCTTTGGGAAAACAAAGTAGGCACGGGCTTGGGTAAGGCGGGCCACCGATGTGGGATTGGGCAACCTGCCCTTTGGCCTGTTTTTTGGGAATCGATGCAACCTCATTCTGCAACTCGGATAAACCTGAAGTTGGCAGGATAGGGACGATCTTTGCTCTCAACCGGGTGAAAAGACAAGACAATGTGTTAGTTTTTCATGTTGGTTGGCGGCTAGAATTCTAACACAGGAGATCCTTGCATAGCTCTAAGCACTGTTGGGGGACAACGACGGTCTTCTGTTGGTTTGAACTGGTGTTCCAGACCACAGTGGAACATTGAGTCTGATTCAATAATTTTGGCTGAACCTGAACCCGTTGCAGACGATCAAGTCCATGTCTACCTCCTCGGCCTCATCTTGCCCTCCAATTGTCCCTGGATTCTTCTGCACTTCCATAAGCCCGTCGGCTCTTCGACTGTTCCCAGGAGATGATGCCTGTTCTCACTAAGCGTCTCCAGGAGTGTTTCTCAGAAATTGCTTGTCCAGAACAGAGATTTGTGCGCCTATGTCCAGCAGCGCAGCACAAACACATCAAACAACACGGGACATGAACATCTCCAAGTAGACTCTTCTCTCTTCTGTTGTTCGGTTGTATTGTCCTTATTGGGTACAGGAGGGACTTCAACCCACACCCATGGAAGGACTTGTCCCCCCTTCCGAGAGGACTGACCCTGCATCAACAGGCGACCATGTGGTTTTGTAAAGGCCTAAATCTATTATTTCAAGGGTTGAGTTCTGAGACAAGCCTGTGCAGGTTCTCATCGGCAAGCAATGAGGTTTTTTGCTCCTTCAGGTCTTGGTGTGTAATTGGAGTTGGCACTAATGCGGGACTTCACGATGCGGAGGTTGCTTCTTTTCTTCCCCTTGGTTCCTTTCCAAAGATTTGTGCGACCAGCGACTACACATGGTCAACACGCGCATATGTTTTTGGATTGTCTTCCGCAGTGTTACTGTTGCATGCTGCATACCGCATCATACCACTCAACTTAGGGCGTTTCGCCCGTGGAGTTACTTGGTGCTTCGAGCTTCTTGTGCTAATTTGCTTGTTTTTAGGGCTTAGCAACAGGCACATTCTCAAGCCTAATTCGATGTTCTCAAGCCTGGCTTGCTCTGCTGAAAAGGGGGGTGCATGATCGGGGCAAGGCAACGATGGGCTGCAAGGAGGGAGCTTACATATTTTGCATCCATTGTCCAGGGAGCTTGGTCTGACAAGCATGTTCGAAGCCGCTTCCCATGCAAGCCTGTTTGGATGGAATAAATAGATTTGGGAACACATGGCTTCATGTCAACATTGCCAGACCCCATGCCAATGGATCTTGTATACATAGTTCCTTTGCCACTTGCTTATGGGACGGCCTCCTTACTTTCTGAAAACCTGAGCAATTCTGAGAACCTGGCATCGCTACGGCTCCTGGCATCGTTACTGGGAGCAAGGATGCTACTAGGGGCTCCTGGCCTTACTGCTAGGAGCAAGAAGCTACTAGGAACAAAAACAACTCGCCGGGCTCGTTTCCGTGCATGCGGTTGTGAGCGTTTTCCACAGCTGTGCTTCTTTCAAGCCGATGAATGTGCTGTGGGTTGATCATGCACATGATGGAAAACAGCCAAAAAGCGGTGCGTTTTTGATGAACACGTGCCGAAAATGAGGTTTCGAGCGATCCAGGCGCGACTTTTATTCCTCCAGCATCTGCGATGCGAGTCTTTCGCTCAAGCTTTCATCAAACGTTGAATGTTTTTCGAAATGTTGGGGTTAATTTCAGCGCAGCACCATCGTGCAATCACGGAGTGGTGACCGACAGTTCAATAATGAGACCTCCTGCATAAAAGACGGACAGGGAACAAGGAGGAGCAAACATCCTTGCAAAAACTGTATCTCAAGCCAGACAAATGCAACGAAATCACCAGGACAAACACAAACAAACCTCGAAAGTTGCCTCCCGTCATGTCCTTCAAGCCAAAATCGCAGCGCATGCAACATATGAAAAAAACAATCGAAATCATGTTGCGCGCAAAATTCTGGACAACTTGCTCCATGTCAATAGAAACTTATCAGATAACATGATTGAATCGAAGACAAGAACGTCACTGCCCGCCACTCTCCCCACTCCTCCCCGATAAAAGTCCTTCAATGACTGCAAAAACACAATGCAAAAGACTCACATTTAGAAGTGGGGGTTGCTGAAGCATTTCCACCTGCTTCCTCAACGGCTCACTAAACACCAGGAGGGCATGACCCTGGTGCTCAGCTACTGGTCCGATGAGGGTATGACCTGGTTGGATGGCTCAGGCCTGGTGGACTTGCACCATGGCATGAGCGCGAACCATGAGCTGTTCGGTGTAGAAAACTAGTCGGTGTTTCTTTTTTCAATGATGTCTCACGAGTATGTAGGAGCTGCAGAGAGGTACGTATTCAAGAGCCCGTTTTTGCAGAGATCAAAGGCGGTGCCTCCCATCAGGAGGATATGAATTTGATACTCCTTTGCTCCTGCTCCCAGCGGTGATTGCGCCAGGTTACGACGGTGTGGAATTCTGCAAGGCGAGGGTGGACGAGCAGTGGAGTCAGACTTGCCTTTTTGATCCTTTTTGTGCATTTTCCAGTCGGATGGGCGAATTGTGGCAAGACCATTTCAAAGTTTGATATGAACAAGCAAACACCAAATCTACAGTATTTCTCTGGAATCCGGAAAGAACGATCACATGTTTGGTGGAGCAGGGTGGACTCTTTCACGCGTTAATAACGGTGATGTGTGACATCCAGGTTGTCGGAAGCAAGAGAGGGGTGGTTGGGAAGAGGTTGCTGTGGGACTTCTCCACTGAGAACCCCAGGCGCCCGAAGTTGTTTTCAAGAAATAACAATCTTCTTTTGAGCTATTAATAGCAATGGCCTCCAACCTAAGAGCGATGGCCTCCAACCTGATAGCACCTACTTTCCAGTATAATCCTTTGGAGTTCCTTTCGATTTGTAGAACTCCTTCTCTCTGCGGCGCGAGCCCAGATTTTGAGAAATCTAATATCAGTGCTACTTGGATCCTCATCGCCTAGAACATCACACTTCCCTGGGCAGCGCTTCTTATTTTCGGCATTGCATGCCTTCATGTCCCTGATTCTGCCTGTGGATGCTGAATTTGAGGCCCGGTGGGAAAAGGATGGAGAGCGAAATTGTGCTGATTCAATCAGCTTGAGGGACTTTGCCTTGACCTCGCTTGATGAACTTTGAGCCACTGCATCAACTGGAAGAAGCCGCCTCTACTCAGTCAACTTGCAAACCAAAGCGAGTTCCGGCAAAACTCATCCATATTATCCTATATCATCCTATGCAAACTGTAGCGAACTTTGTGCTTCAGGGGTCCTAAACCAAGACGACTTCACGAGCGTAATGTGGATGGAGAACCGATTTGGATGGGTTTGGGGCATTTTGGGTCTTCGGAGTTCACTCAGTTGACACACTAGTAGCTTCTTAATCCTAGTAGTAAGGCCAGGAGCCCCTAGTAGTAAGGCCAGGAGCCCCTAGTAGCATCCTTGCTCCTAGTAGCGATGACAGGAGCCCCTAGTAGCTTCTTGTTCCTAGTAGTAAGGGTTGAGCAGCAAACTTTGTTAAACTATGCTGTGATGAAGGTCACGTTGCTGTTGCTGTCAATCTGTCACCTGGAGCGGGAATAGATTTTGAGAAGACTTCAACAAGGGCGCTAGTTAGCCGCTGGTTGTCGTTCGAGTTTCAGCTGAAAGATCGATAGTAGGACTTCAAACAAGGCATTTGTGACACTTTCTGGATGACAGTGGCCGATCATCAATCTGCTTCTTGGTTGTTTCACCCTGGCCCCTCGGCCGAACGGCCGTGGGACGAGATGCGGAATCGGAAGGGCGGAGCGTGGCCGGCGCTAGAGTCGCAGCCAGGGCAGCTATTGAATGCTCAGGACCTCAACATGAGAGCATTGGTTGTTCGTCCCACACCTGGCAGGAATACGTTTACCACATGCCGCTTTTCTCTAAACTTGAGGACACATCCTGAAAAGTATTGGCTCCTGACCCAAGTTGTAGATTGAAAAAGAGCAAAGTAAAGCAGTAAAGCCACTTGCTACCTAACTGGAGGACTCATCGATATGTTTGTATCCAAAGGGATTTCTACTCCGCAGTGGCTGGACAGCTGATCTTGGCCTGGCGGCTTTCCGGGCCTTCCTTAATTCATCTCAAGCCTTCATGGCCTAGACAGCTTCGAGCCGCGCAAAACGCGGCTGACGACTGGAGTCCTTCCCTCCGATTGCTCACAAGATGGCTGATCGAAATAATGATATGATATTTTTTTCTCATACCCATCAGACTTTCATTGGCTTTGACTCCACATTTCCGGACTTGGAGGTCGGTGAAGCCTAGATACACGGTCTCTGGAAGGGCCGGGCATGGCCTGAAGCCATGTGCTCATTGATTTCATTCCAGTGTCATCTGCGAAGAACTCGTCTCCCGATTGAAGCGATACATATGCTACCAGACCAAGCAAGGTTGACGATATCATATCTTGATTTTGTCAAGAACATGTTTGAACATGTTTGAACTTTGACCCTGTCATTCACGCAAAATTGCCTCCCTCAACCTGTTTGAGATTGCTGGCTCTACTCCAGTGCCCAGCACAAGTCATGAAGAGGGCTCTCAATTCCACTTCCACGAGCCTCAAACCATGCAACAACCCGCTGTGAGTGGGTGGAAGAGCTTTCGTTTTCCTAAGCATCCAATTCTCATTGCTTTTGACCCATGGAGCTCAACCTGAGCTCTACTGGATGAGCAACCGGAGAGGCTTAGATGGCCGAGATCTGAGGGGCCGATTGCTTTAGCGCCTCCCACGCCACAGACGCGGGGAAGCAGATTGTGAATCACTTGATTCACAATGCGCGACCCGATTCAAGTGAAGAGCGGTGAACGGCGAGAAAATGGTGGAGAAGTTCTTTTGGGCTGAAGTTGAAGGCAAATAACCCACAGTCGGGTAATTACACAAGTGTGCTTGATTGTCCTTGTTCCTTCTATTTCCCCAGATTTTGTATCTTTGATTGGGTATGGTTGGTCATTGGCCGGGTGCTATCACGGGGCCAGGCTTTCCCGAAATTGCGGCAGTCATGTGGAAGGGTGGACACTATCAAGCCATTGAATGACGTCTTGTGGTTCTTGCACAATCAAGCCATTTTTTGGTGACCGCAAAATGTTTCTTCGTTGTTGCACAATCCCTCGGTTCTTTGTTCGGCTTGACTTTGCACCTTTTAGAAGGTCTCCCCTTTGAAGTGAGTCAGTTCACCGTCATCGTCATTGTTTGTAAAAATTAATGTGACTTCATGTTTGGGGATAGGATGCACCCGCAGTGCCAGCCTGGTGCCCAGGTGGGAACCCTGATCTCCCGAGCGGGGCTACGAACGCCATTTCTGCCGAAGGATACTGAGCAGCTCAGCTGGCGGTGGCTGCTACTAGTAACAAGAAGCTACTAGGGGCTCCTGGCATCGCTACTAGGAGCAAGTAGCTAGAGGAAGGGTCCAGTTGAAGCTTTCAGCAGCTGCGGCTAGCTGTCGTTCTGGGACAGTCCATGCCTAGTGGCTGTCATTGTGTGCTATGGCAAGGTCGTGGCTCACTGCCACGGAGGCGTTGCTGGGCTTGGACGGGACCTCTTCCTTAGCGTTGCGCGGGACCCCAGGAATCAGGTCAGCTTTTTCTGGCGATCAGACGTAAAAGACGCTCAAAGCCACAGGATAGGAGTTAATGTTTGGGTTTCGAAGGCTCGCTCAATCCCATCTTGTTACTAGTAGAAAGAATGCTCCTGTAGCGATGCCCTTTGTTCCTAGTAGCTTCTTGTTCCTAGTAGTAAGGCCAGGAGCCCCTAGCAGCGTCCTTGTTCCTTGATTGTTTTTGGTTGATTTGTCTTTCATTTTAATCAGGCCACCAGGGATTGGAGTGGCCATGAGTTGAATTACGGTGATCTCATCATGGGCACTGAATTTGAATTCTTTTTTGTCACTTCCTGAATCCTGAGTTTTTTTTTAAATGTTGGGTCAAGAATAGCTAACACAGGTACATCCCGGATGCCACTTGTTTGTAGGAGGAAGATGGTCAAACTTTAGCCATGGGCATGTTACGAGTGGGCTCTCGTAGGGCGTTGGCGGTTGGGAGCACTTGATGTTTTTGATATTTGGTGTGGACTCACAGGGGTTGGCATTCTTGGTTACGATTATTGTGGAGGATTTCGAGTGCGAACATAGGCTGTCCGCAGGGTACTTAACGATCAGCCAACTTAGACACAAATGCTACGGTTTTGTGAACTCCTTCCACGTGGGATGCAGGTTCGGGCTTCCAGTCTTTGTGGCTGCCACGGTCAACGGCTTTGACGATGCGCGAAGGCCGCGGTGGAATTGGTGATGCCAGCCTGTTGGGCGTTTGGAGGGTGGATAGGCAGGTTTGTCATCCTGTACCGCGACATACATATGTATATAGTACTGTATATATATATACACAGTAAGACATATATAAAGTTCTCTGGCCCCTGGGCCCCTTCCTTGCAACATTTTCTTCTATTTGATGGAGTGGTGGAAGAAGTTTGTTGGAGAGCCCTTGGATAGTGAGCCGCAACCTTCGATGTTCACAATCCCAGCTCTACTGGGTTCTTATGTCGTATTGTAGGTCTAACCTACAGCATCTACAGATGTCCGAGTGGGCCCTAACAAAAAATACCCGTACCAGCACCTCCAAGAGGCCTCGTGTAGAGTCGCGAAGAGGTCTTTGTTCATGACCTGTTGGAGATGAACATGCAGCCAAAGGGCCGCCATGGCGCAGGTAGGTCAGTGCCATCTGGCTAAAGCAGGTGTCGACGACTGGGGAGTTGATTTGTTTTGACCTGCTACACCAGAACCAGTGAGCCCTCGAAAGCAGTTGATAGCAGAAAACGGAAGAGGTCACCTATGAGGCCTTTGGATCATATTTCTATTGGATCCACCAAGTTAGTTGGCGGCAGGTTTTGAGGTGAATGGAATGCAAGGGAGGCACCATTGCACCATGATTCACTATGAGTATGACCTTTCGACCGGATTCGATTCGGTGTTTGGTCCGTGAATGATGACCCTTGCCAGGCTTGTCTCGTTATTTGGTACCTTTTGCAGCCTTCTGGCAGTTTGTGACTTCCTTGCAGTAGGTTCAGAGTAGATTAGATGCCACAATCAAGACACGCTTCCAATGAGCACACTAGCAAGATGACTGCCAGTTAAAATCCTTCTGGACGCTTGCCTTTATTCTTTTTCTCTATATTCTAAATTTGCAAAAGGGCTTTGTTTGGCACTGTCTCGGCGTGAAACTATGAGGCCATTGGCCGTGGCCGGTGCCTGAGAGTCGAGCGGTGACAAGAAACAATTGTTTTTCCCCAGATAGCGAAGCTATGGGGTTCTTACTTCAAATAACAATGAGTTGCCCGCGCTTTCGAGACAGGTTGCTGGTGCTGGGTGCCGGTGCTGGTGCTGGTGCTGTGAGCTGGCTGTGCACGTGGTGAGGACAGGTTGCTGGTGCCGGTGCTGGTGCTGGGTGCCGGGTGGTGCTGGTGCTGGTGCTGGTGCTGTGAGCTGGCTGTGCACGCGGTGGAGACAGGTTGCTGGTGCCAATGCTGGTGCTGGGTGCCGGTGCTGGTGCTGGTGCCGGTGCTGGTGGTGTAGCTTGCATATGTGAGGGGGTCTATTTTCGGATCTTTTTCCCAGATAGTGAAGCTATTCGTGCTGGATACTGCTTGGCCTTGGGCGAGTGAAGCCTACGGGCTTTGCCGTTTGTGCGCGTACTTTTGTGCGCATAATCTTATACGCGCAAGATCATACGGCCTTATCGTTCTGCAGATCGTTGCTTCAAGCATGCTACAAAGACCTACAAAGTCAATAGTGATAGTGGCGCTGGATACTGCTTGGCCTTGGGCCAATGACACTTACGGGCTTTGCTGTTTGCCTGCATACTTTTGTGCGCATAAACTTATACGCGCAAGATCATACGTTGTTATTCCCCAAATAGGGATAGCTATGGGCTATGGGGTTCTTGCTGCAAATAAGAATGAGCTGGCTGCGCGCGCTTTCGAAAGAGTGTCGGTGCTGGTGCTGCTGTTGTGGTCCTGGGTGCTGGTGCTGTGAGCTGGCTGAGCGTGCGTTTAAGACGGGCGGCGGCGCTGGTCGGGTGCTGGCGCCGCTGCCGGTGTTGTCAGCTGCTGTGGAGGTGCCGTAAGCTGGCTGTGCAGGCTGCGTACATT